ACTCGGCATTGTTGTGTTGTACTCGGCATTGTCGTGTTCCACAACAATGCCGAGTTTGTTTATACTCGGCATTGTTGTGTTGTACTCGGCATTGTTGTGTTCCACAACAATGCCGAGTTTGTTTATACTCGGCATTGTTGATGACGTAATTTATTGACGACAACGAGGAATCACAAATTTTTATAATAGATTATGACAGAATATTATTATTATGATATTACTGCAATTGGGTTTGCACCTGGTGGCAGAGGTCCTTACACTACACAATTACAACAAAATACATATAATATAAACAAGTACACTCCATAGAACACCCTACACACACAACTAGACATCCACCCCTACAAAAACATTCCACCTTACACGGACACACATACACACAAGACAAAAACACACACACATTTCAAAAACACACATCCTTTAATTAATCACAATAATTAATAGATTAGAATATAAAGTCAGACCACAGTACATGAAACTTTTATCCCAAAGAACTACAGCCCTTCATCACTTGGAGACTAAGACACTTCACTTCCCTTATCACTTCCCTTATCCCCACTTAATAACCCTTTGCTTGTAACTACTTTTTTGACCCTCTTTCTAAAGGTGTGTTTATTTGTTCATTTCAGTTCTTTGGTTTTGTGGCCATGATTGCATATGGCTATGATGCATTCCTGAAGTTCAATGCTGTCCGTTCAGGTGCTCTAGCTCAGGGTGAACGTGTTGTCACCAAATCTTCAAGTACAGTTACCTCACCAGCATACTGAAATAAAGCTGGTTTTTCTTCATGTCTCTTCAGTAATGCTGCTTTATCACATGTGAGGCTTGGACAGTAAATGCAAATAATAAGGATCATGAGGACTGAGTACTTGCAAGAAAATGATGATAGAAAACTCAAAGGTTATACCTAGGAATCTAGGATCATATTGAAATATTAAATGAAGTTGAAGTAGAGATGTTAATATGGGCTGTTGTTTTTGAGCTTTTGTGGTTTCATTTTTACATTACTCTGCCAGAAGGTGTACTGATGTGTTCTTTGCAGATCCTATTATTTGTTGGATCATGATAAATGTAAAAAGATAATGTTCTTGCAGCAATATATTGCTACTTTTATTTATAAGGATATTTGAGAGGCTCTTAACATGATTAAGTAACAAATTTCACTGTCTCTTGCTGGTGGTCCTCTTAGATGGTACAGAAATTTGGTGATTGCTTTCTTGTTAAGTATTACTTCGGGGTAAGTGGTATATCATTTAACCCTCTATTTCAAAGGTATGTTATGATGCTATAATGGCAGTTGCAACCCATTACATGTGAACATTGTAATAAAGATGTGTAATTTTTAGTGTCTCTATCAGCACAATTGATGAGCCCAGGTTTACTGACCAGCATTGAGTATTACAAACAGATACATATGAGATGTTGCCTTATTGTATTATTTATGTGACTATTTGGTAATTGCTGTCTTCACACAACAGTTGTTTATAAATAAATTTATGCACTTAGCACATCATTTATTTCATATCATTACTGATTACTGTGACATGTTTCAGGTGGAGCTTTATAGATCAGTTATTAAGTTATGACATGATATAAATGATGTGATAATCACATTATTTTATTTGTAAACAACTGTTGTGTTAAAGCAGAAATGAGCAAATGTTCAGGTATAACCACAGTATGATGCAAAAATACAATCTGATACATTATTAATATTTATGTGTAACATATAAAATCAGAGTGTATTAACAGAAATAAGCATTATATATGAAATTTTGAAACTTCTTGAATTCTGTAATTCTGGAGAAGATCATCTTTGAATGATTCTTCATCTAGAGTAATGATGCAGGAGTAGCTTGAAGTGTTCTGTGTAGTGCATAATTTTTAAAATTCAAAATCAGCTCTTTTATTTGGTCTAGTATATTTTCTATTCTTTATTACCATTGTCTTCAACTTAATTTCAGTTGAACTTCATATTATGATAAAATATTTGTTCTGAAATTATTCTCACACCAATTTTAAAGTGATTAGCCTGTTATTAACAGTTTATAAAGTATGTTATATCAAGTGTAATGGACATGGGGTTGCTATTGGACACCCCCAACATGACCAATTTTACCATTTCTTCCCACTCAGCTACTATCACCAATAGTACAAACAAAAGGGGGATCACTTGTAAGAATAAGACCACATAACTTTAAGAAGATACAATTAATTTATATTTATAAGGAGGTATGGATAACAATTTAAGCCATGATACATACACAGTATGTCCATTAGTTAAGCTGCCAGTACAGATTTTAGTGTGGTTCAAGATTGAATTATACAATTTTTGTAATCATTAGGCAACAATCAAAGGAAATTGATATACTTAAAAATGAATACAATAGTAATATACATATGGAAGTGGGGAAACTGCCCAAACTAATATATAAAGCAAT